TCGATGTTTCTATCTCTCTCTCCCTCTTTCTTCCTCTCTCAAATCAATAAAGAAAAAAATTTTAAGAGGAGCTGCCTGGGGCTCCAGCAGCCTCACCCTCTTTTAGCCTCAGTTCCAGTGGTTTTCACAGCCAGAAGTTATGGGGACTTCTCTTCCTGGCACTAGAACCCTGAACTAGGTGCCTGGTGTGGAATGGGGACCCCTTGCTCCTCAGGGAGAACTTTTCCAGCTGAGGTGTCTTCCTGATTTTTATCCATCACATGTGGGTGTGGGACCAGCCTGTCTGCATCCTCCCCTCCCATCAGTCTCCATGTGGCTTTTTCTTTAATTTTGTAGTTGTAGGACTTCCATTCAGCTTGATTTCAGGTGGTTCTGAAGGATGGTTGTTCTGTAGTTTAGTTGTAGCCTGGATGTGGTTGTGGGAAGAGGTGAGTACCACGTTTACCTATGCCGTCATCTTGACTGGAAGTCCTTTATTAGTTTATTTTTAAAATATATTTTTCTTTATTTATTTTAGAGAGAGGTGAAGGGAGAGGGAGAGAGAGATAGAAACATCAATGAGAGAGAACATGGATTGGCCACCTCCTGCATGCCCCCATGGGGGTCAGGCCCACAATATGGGCATATGCCCTGACTGGGAATCAAACTGGTGACCTCTTGGTGTATGGGTCGATGCCTAACCACTGAGCCACACCGGCTGGGCTCTTTGTTTTTTTCTTAAATGAAAGTTGAGAAGTTACTTTAAAGGAAGGTGAGTATTTAAAAAAAGTTTTTTAATTTGATTTTAGAGAGAAAGGAAAGGAGAGGGAGAAAGAGAGAGAAATGTCAATTGGCTGCCTCCCATATATGACCCAACCAGGGTTGACTCACAACTTGGGTATGTACCCTGACCAGGAACTGAACCCATGACCCTTTGGTGCACAGGAGGACGCTCCAACCAACTGAGCCACACTGGCCAGGGTGACCAGTCCCTCCGTTGATTCAGATACTACTCATATTAAATCAGCCAGTTTTCTTTTTAGCAGCTGCAGCCCGTGGTTAAGATGAAAACCCCTGGGTCTTTCAAAATAACAGTTATTGTTATCATTTTCATGGACAATTGATTTTTTTTAATCCTTGCCCAAGGATATTTTTCTGTTTATCTTTAGATACAGTGGGAGGGAGGGGGAAAGAGGGAGAGAGAGAGAAACATTGATGTGAGAAAGACACATCGACTGGCTGCCTCCCGCATGACCCTAACCAGGGCCAGGGACAAACCTCAACTGAGGTACATGCCCTTGACCGGAATTGAACCCATGACTCATTGGTCTGTGGGCCGACACTCTAACCACTGAGCAAAACAGGCCAGGGCGGCAGTTGATTTTTTAAAACTGTAAATGGAATTTCTAATAATTAAAATGTCATCTTGTTGATTTTGCTCATTGTTCCAGATAATAGAATCATTTTGATTCTTCACTCTATTATATGAACTAATCTTTAGTTTTCTGAGACATCCACATATTCCACCAGTACACCTTCTGTATTTTTATTGCAGTCATTAATTTTTGTATCACCTCACCTAGTATAGGTGTGTGGCTCATTGTAAGATCATGACTAGATTGGTAAACTGCTAAATAGGGCAAAGCCTAGGCCAGATTTTAAAAGCTTCCCATTAGACATCTACCAGGTTGACTTCCAATAATTTATTGGTCAATATTCATTTAATTTGATTTGGTTTTTTATATAGCTAGAATTTCAGGAAGATTCTAGGTCTGTGTTGCAGAGATAAGATTTTAAAGAGGGTCCTCAACGTTCTAATACCAATGTTTCAATATACAACTTACTCGATTCTCAGGTACTTTCCCTTTAGTTCATTCCTATTATAAGAGTATTCTACTAATCTCTCCAACACCATCAGGTCATCAACTTCTTTGGATCAGATCTGTCATTTTTGAAATTCCTAAACTTTTTAGCAGAATTCAAAATGCAGTTTTGTTTGACATTTATTGCATTCATGTGCTTGGGACAATGGTGGACACCGGAGATGCAGACATGACGAAGGCACAGCCCCTGAACTTGAGAATTTAAGGATTAGAGTTGTGAACTGTGGCTCTTCTACTTACTAGCTGGTGACCTAGGGAAAGTTGCTTAACCTTTTTCTGCCTCAATTTCTCATCTGTTCAATAGTGCTAATAATATCACCTACCTTAGAGAATTATTGTGAAGAGGGTAGACACATAAACAAATACTTATAATTTAAAGTGGTGAGAGGTAAGATTAAGAGGTTTCCACAGAGCCCAGCCGGTGTGGCTCAGTGGTTGAGCGTCGACCCATGCACCAAGAGGTTGCTGGTTTGATTCCTGGTCAGGGCACATGCCCGGGTTGTGGGCCCAACCCCCAGTGGGGGGCACGCAGGAGATGGCCAGTCGATATTTTCTCTCATCAATGTTTCTATCTCTCTCTCCCTCTCGCTTCCTCTCTCTAAAATCAATGAAGGAAATAAAATTAAAAAAAAAAAAAAAAAAAGAGGTTTCCACAGGGAGCTCCGAGGAGAGGCAGTTAGCTCAATTTAAATGTACACAGGAGAGACTTCCAAAAGAGGAAAATTGAGCAGAGTTGCAAAGGCTTAGCCAGGTGAGAAAAAACTTTTATGGGCATTTGAAAAAGAAGAAATGGCGTGAACAATGGTTCTGAAGGTATAAAGAGTCGTGATGTACTCAGGTAACGACCATCAGTTGGGAACGTTGAGACTCAATAATGAGAGTGTCCACAGATAAGACAGAAAGACACATGGCACTATGTAATAGAGGGTTTCTTCTTCCTCTTCCAGCCAGACAGCTGCTCCTAAATCCCTCCAAAGGGAAATTCTGAAGTTGCAACTGGGTAGGAAGCTGCTGGAGTGATGGATTCCAACTATGACAGTGATGTGATATGAGGAATGAGACAGAGAGATGTCGAAGGTTACTTCCAGGTTTTTGACAGGAGTGAACAAATGCAATCAGTTGCTGAGAGCTGACCATGTACCATTCACTCTGCTGGGCACTGAACATACAAAGTGGATGAAATATGGACCCAGCCCTCAAAGAGCATGTAACATATTTCATTCAGACATTTAGTTCTTATTTCTCTAGCATATCTATAAAGATGTTGTGAAAGATTTAATAATTAGAAATCAATATATATTATGTCTATAATTAGAAATCAGTACATATTATGTCTGTACTGGAGTGAAATGTCTGAATTGCCATTTACAAGCTCTGGATACATAATTCTGGAGCTTGGTGGAGAGATCTAGGCTGAAAATTTAGAGGCTGATAGTACTGACAGATTGAAGTCAAGGATATGGGTGGTACCACCCAGTGGGAATATCAACAGTGAAGAAGATGTTTCGGCTATTTATTGCCTTTTGCTAGTCTAGGATTCTGTTACCTGCAGTTCAGTGGGATAAACCTATAGATCCACAGGGAGCCTAGTGTCCAGTTTTTGCCATTGTGACTTAATTCCAAATGGAATAAACATTGCAAATAAGTAGGTACATAGTCATTTTTTTCCAATCTTCAGTCTTAGAAAGTGTGTTGTATCAGGAAAATTGCAACCTTATTAGCTACTAATTTGCTAGTAGACCTGTTCCTTTTGGTTTTGTAGGTATATTTTGGGAGGTGTGAATATGTAAATTTCAAATTTTTTAATATAATTACATCCAATTTTGGTGACTATTAATTTTAACCTAGTTTTAGTAGATACTTTTAGATTGTTTAAGCATTTGTGACACTTCTTATATTGGTAACTACAAAAATTATTTTAAAATTTCCTTTTAGACCTGGCCAGTTTTGCCCAGCGGTTAGAGCGTTGGCCCGTGGACCAATGGGTCATGGGTTCGATTTTGGACAAGGGCATGTACCTCAGTTGCAGTTCATCCCTGGCCCTGGTCAGGGTCATGTAGGAGGCAACCAGTTGCTGTGTCTATCTCACGTCACTGTTTCTCTCTCTCTCTCTCTCCCCCTCCATCTATCTGAAGATAAATAGAAAAATATCCTCAGGTGAGGATTAAAAAAATGTGCTTTTATTTTTGGTCTCTAAGACTGAGGAATATATTTATTTGCTTAGTTCACTGGCCTAGAGATAACATATAGAAAAACAAGCCAATAAAAGACTCCCTTCTTCCCCCCTTCTCATCAAAAAAGTGAAGAGAGAATCCTACAGAATTTGTTCAGCACTCACAGGAGGGAGTAAATAAAGAGAAGCATCCCCTCCCTGCCAAAGAAGAGAGGCCAGAGACATAAAAGTAGAATGGAGAGGGAAAAAAATCTTTGAAATGTAAGGAAAAGGAGGAGAATTTAAAGGAGGGAGTATTTCCAATCACTGAAAAGATGTCGAGCAAGATAAAGATGAAAATAATTCATTGGATTTAGTCATGAAGAAATAATTAATGATCTTTGCACAGGAGTTTAGAATACTGAGGGTGAAAGCCAAACTGGAGTGAGTGGGTAGGGGTGAAGAAAAGTGAGTATAGACCATTGTTTCAAGAGCTTGTCTATGAAGGAATAAAGATAGAAGGGGATATAGAATCAAGAGATGTGGTGTTTTTAAAAAATCGGTAGATAGTTGAGCATTTTTGGAAAGACCTAGAAGAGGGAAAAAATGAAATAAAGATGATTAGAAATAATCTCTATAGAGGACAATGAAATCTAGACCTCAAGGGACTCTTTAGTCAGGAGGTGAGATGCTTCCTTTACTCTGATGTGGTGGATGTCACACTAATACAGGGTTGGAGTTTATTGAATGGACTCTACAGAATGTCAAAGGGGCAAGGGAGTTGAGGATTTGGCAGTACAGTTTTTGAAAACAAGTACCATGTAGCCTGGATAGAGAAAGAGGTAAAAATGAGAAGGGGTAGGAGACTGATGGGAAAATGGAGGGCTCAAGAGTCTGGAGTATAGATGAGATGAGAGCGAGGGCATGAAAGGCCTTGAGAAGGAGTCATGTCTGTGCTGGTGTATCTGAGTTAGACATTGTTTCAGGTGCTGGTAAGTCCTCAAGAATGGGTGATTCAAGTGCAGAGGAGTGATCTGCCTCTTCCCCAACTACATTCCTACTTAACACAATGCCTGGAACACAGTAAGTTTTCAATAAATATTTGTTCTAAAAACCAAATAAAAATGCTTTATTTTCTGCTTTCCAGTATGTTATACCAAGTCCCCTCTTCCCCATGTATACTGTTACTTAGCCATAATCATGGTAAATGCTCTCAAAGAAAAGCACCGTGTGCTATGAGATTGTATAAAATAGAGTTCTGATCTAGTCTGGAGGGTAGGGGTCAAGAAATTTTTCCAAGGAAGTGACTTTTAAGGTGAGATCTGATAAATCAGTAGTAGTAAGCCAGGGGATGAGATGTGGGGAGAGCCTTACCAGAGAAATTAAAAAGGCTTTTAAATATCTTGAGGTGGGAAGAAGCTGAAAATGTTCCAACTGAACAGTAACAATGGAGGTAGAAGGATGGGCTGAAGGGATATGCTAGGACCGTACTACAGAAGGTCCCATATATACTAAATCATGAAGTGCATTTTAACTCATTAGAATTGAAATGGGAAAAGTTGACTTATTACTATTGATGTTAGCCTATATGCATTAACAGGAATTATATGGATGTCTGGTTCTACACAGTGAAGTTTGAAAGCTGAAAGATTGTATTTGTCTAAAATGTTTCTTCCAGCAGCCTCCTACTTCTTTCCTACAAAGCCTTATTCCTTTGGATTATATAAAGCAAATGGGATAGCCTTCCAAAAACCCCTGTCAAAATGTACTTTGGTTACCTAAAGAGAGTCTCTAGTCCTTCCTCTCTGCTATTCTAATTTTTTTCCCATTAGCTTTATGATTAGGTTAATTAGGTATTTGCATAGAGAAAGATAAGCATCAATTAATGAAATTCCAAGCAGGCAAGGAATAGCACAGAGACCTTTGGCTGATGATAGGGAAGGGAGGCACAGGTAGGTAAGCACTGTAATGGACATTTGGAATCTTGATTTGTCCTGGTACATCTATGGTCCCAGGACATACTTGTTTCACAGTTTTGTCTAATATAAACCTATGTAAAACTTCCAATTTTGCCAAGATAATTACCATAGGCTGGCTGCTGACCCCCAGATCAATCTTGGAGGAACTATGGAGGAAAACCATCATGAAACTAGGAAATATTGGTAAAGAAGAAAAACAAAACAGAGAAATCCCCTAGAGGACAGTAAAGTCCATTCTGAACTCTCTCTCTCTTTCTCTCTCTCTCTCTCTCTCTCTCTCTCTCTCTGTATGTGTGTGTGTGTGTGTGTGTGTGTGTACATCTGAAGCCTGGGTCAGGAGACTTCTATGGAGATTACCTACAGAGGCTCAGACTGCTGGTATAAGTGTCCTCAAGGATAATAATCAGGACAGAAGGGAAGCCAGAATGTGGAAAACTAGTGAGGATTGACTGACCTTTATCATTTACTCTCTCTCATCTCCCAACTCCCTCCAGCCTCTAGGCCTAGTGAATTATTAGCTGCTTCTCCTTGAGGGGTGGAAGGTGGGGTGGGCCTCATAGTAGGGCCCTGACTTGAAGAATTACTTGGTGGCATGATACCCAGCCTGAGCAATTGATTAAAGTAGTTTGGTGCTTGATCTCACTGGATGTTGACACAAACTGGAATCTGCCCTTTGGTCTTTTCCCATACCAAATGCTCAGAGAGAACAGAATAGCTGATATCATCAGAGAAATATATACTCACAGGCCAAAGTTATGAGATGTCTCAAGAATACAACTACTTCAAAAGAAAAGAACAACCTTGATTACAGATGCCACCAGAAGCAAATATGTTAAATCTGATGGTTAGCAAGTAAAAGAATAATAAATAATTGATAAGAAAATCATAAAAGTCAAGAGGAAATACTAGGCATGAAAAATATGTATTAGGAGAGAGAACAACAGATGAGATAGATAGTAGAATAGACATGGCTAAAAAACAAATCAGTGAACTGAAAGATCAGATTAAGGAGCTTTTCTAGAATGAAGCAGGGAAGAAGAAAGAAAAAGAAAATATAAAATAAAAGTTAAGAGGTAAGGAAGATTGAATTGGAATACAAACTTCAACTTACAGATCATAGGAATGTCAGGAAGAGGGAAAAATAAAAATGGACAAGAGGAACTATTTTAAGAAATGGAAATACATTTCCCAGAACTAAAGAAAGAGGAAAGACCTCATATTTATTTATGTAATACCAAACAAGAGTGATAAGGAGAAACTAACCCTGCTAGTATTATAATGAAATTAAAGTTTTTACAGGCAAAGATAAAATTCTAAATTTCTAGAGAGACTGCGGGCAGATCAACTATAATGAAATAAAACATATATATATATGACCTTTACTTGACAGTGGTAATATTTTTAAAGTATTGAAAAGACAAAAGAACTTTGAGCCTAGATTTATATCCAGCCAAATTGTCATTTAAATGTGAGGTATAATAAAAATATTTTCAGGCATATAAGTCCTCAAAAGGTTTGTCACACAAAGACTCACATTGAAAATAGTATTGGAAAAGGTACTCAAATAAGAAAAGAAAATCCAGGAAATGCTAGTAGAGATTTTTGAAGTGAATATAGTCAAATACCTGGATAAAGTTTGGTGCTGTCATTCAAAAACTAAGAAAGACTAAAGAAAAGAAAATATGGAAGTATGTCTACAATAACCTAGACTTCAAATTCTACACAATGTCAAATGGTTGTGTCTTTAAATGAGACATTTTTAAGATAGAAAAATAAAACAATACATTAAAGAAAGTACAAGGGAGGAGATGGCAGGTTAATGGGGCATGGAGAGACTATTCCATAAATGGATTTGTAAAAATAAAGGTAATTTATATGGAAAATTGATATTGATCCTTACCACATAAATCATTTGTAAAAATGAACTCCAGATAAAGTAATAACTTTTAAAAGTAATTTTATAAATCTTATTTGAAAATATAGGTAAATACCTTTCTTGATTTTGGGGTTAGGGAAGCGTGTATTAAGGACATAAAAAAGCCTGTAATTAAAATTAAGATCTGAACAACAAAAAATATCTTGCAAAAAGAAAAGAGAGAAGGTACCAACTGGAAGAGGCTAATTGCAACTCAATTAACCAACAAAGAATTAATAGCAGGAATATATAAAGGTTTCCTCAAATTAATAGAGAAATGATAAACAATCCAATAGAAAATGGACAAGAAATATAAACAAGAATTTCACAGAGGACAAATCACATATTATCAATAAAATATTTATGAAATAATTATTTAGTAATTGGGAAAGGCAAATTAAAACCACAATGAGATACTAATTTATACCCATTCAATTGGCAAAGATTTAAAAAGTAAGATAATGCCAAGTTTTAGAGAGAATGTGAATTAATAGGGTTTCTTATACAAACTCTTGGGAGTGAAAATGGGCATGACCACTCTGGAAAGTCTGTCATTATCTAAATGTTGAACATTTCTAGATCCTATAATCAGCAATTCTATGTTTAGATATATACCCAAGGAAAACTCTGTGTACATTGAGAGACAGAAACAAGAATGTTTCCTGCAGTACTTATTGCACTCTTACTGTATGTAAGGTAAACACCAGAAACAATCCAAATACTTTGTCATAGGCAGTGGATAAATAAATTATAGTAACTTTATACAGTGGCACATTATATAGCAAAATAAATAGCCACAAGCGAAAATATGAATAATCTGAACAATACAATCTTTTTTAAAAAAGTTCCCAAAGATTTTATAGAGCCTGCCAAACTTTTTAATGTTTAAAACAAAATTGAACAATATAATTTTTAGCAATACAAATAAATGATAAATCTATAATTTGAAAAACACAATTTAATAATACTATCAAGATTCAAGGAAGGGGAAGTAGAGGAATAGATTGGGGAGAAGCTCATAGGTAGGTCTAAATGATGTTAACGTTCTAATTCTTGTATCAGGTAGTTGTTTACAACTATTTATATTATTTATAAGAAACAAGTATGCAAATAAGTACATAGTATATATAAATAGAAACAAAGAGGGCCATGCTTAGGCCAATGATGAGAGTGTGTCATGAATCTAAGATAATCCAATTCTGTGCACTTGAGTGGGAAACAAAGAACAGCATCTGCTTTCTCACCATGTTTTGCTTTTATTAGTTATCATTAATCCACACAACAATCTTGTTTCTGATTACTAATAGAATCCCTCTTTTTACAGCTGAATCAAATCTTAACGAGTTAACATATTTGCTTGAGTCCACAAAGCTAGCATGTGACAGAATCCAGAATTTGAAGTTTTATCTGTAACAATCTCCAGATATGTGAAGGTAAGAGTTCACCTAACATCTAATTATTTTGCCACATAAGTATGCCATGGCAAGTTGAGGAATTTGCACATGCATGTCATAATGAAAAAGCTGTATTCAAGAAAAGCCACTTATCATGTCACTCAAAAATAAGAATTTGAATGCAAGAAAGCTTGAGTAAGAAATGTCATGCACTCTTGGAGCAGGGGTGATTCATTCCTCTAGTCTGAATAATTTTCCTTTTTTATATACCCATGAAAGAATGTAAAGAGAGAATGTTTGCAAAACCTTTTCAGTGTTTGTAAATTTGCTCTATACCTAATTTATTGTACTTTGTGACCTCTTTCTGGTTTCTTATTTCTTAAAAGAACACCAATTTGAAGCTTATACCCTCTCTACTGGTTAGCCACATTTTGTCATAATGTCTTCCTAAATAGCATCCATCTATCCCTGTGAGTAAAGATAATTTGATGCTTATTTATAGTGCCCTGATTTTTTTTCGAAGGGCAGAGTTGACAGTGAGCAAGAGAGAGGAGTATATATTTTTTGTGAAGAAGACAGAATGTCACCAAGAACCTGGTTTGTGGGCAGATGTCATATAACAACTTGTACGAAAACTTTGAGGGAAGAGTACTGGAGGTGTGGAAGTCAGATTGAGAGGCAGCATCTACAGCCTTCACTTTACTACTAAAAAAACCTATTACTTTTCAACTCATCATAAAATTAAATTTATTAGTATTCTCATAGACGTCTGTCTTTTGGATGTACCTCTACCCCATTTCCCCTGAAGTTGTGTTCTCATTTTCTTCCGGTGTTTACATGTCAGATCTACTCATCAGAGTAAAATGAGGACCGCTGAGGGCAGAAATCACATTTAATTTTCTGCCGGGTTCAACCCCAATTCCCAAATAGTGCATGCCACATGGTAAATAACAATTATGCTACTTAGCCACCCCTTTCAAATTGTCATGTTAAGAACAGAAAACATCCCCACCTAGTAGCCCAAGGAAATCCAAATGAAAAGGATGAAAGAAGATACTGACCACTCCCGAGAAGACTAAATACAGTAATTTTATTGTTGTGCCCATAATCACCATTTGACCAGAAACATTTCAGGATATGTTGGTTCTAAGATGTGGACATTCAATGATCAAGTTCAGAAAGCATCTATTAAAATGACTTCCCTTTTCCTCCACTCCTGAACCACCAAATCCTTAAATACTAAAGAAGGTGAAACAATATGGTTTTTAAAAATTCTTTTCAACTCATGTAATACTTGACCACAAAACCCTGACAGAAAATTAGGAGCAGCTCTGAGCATGAAGAAAGTAGCTACATGGCAGTAAGCTTCTGCGGGTGGGGAGCCAGGAGCCCTGGGTTTTGGTCTTGGCTTCACCAGTTGAGCTAGGTAACCAATGGATAGTCACTTCAGTTCAGTTTGTGCCTCAGTCTCCTTATATGTAAAGTAGTAATAATCAGATCTGCTTTATATGCTAACTTCACTGCGTAGGCAGGTAATGTACGGGAAATCACTTTGTAAACTGTTCCTAGCCCTCTTCTCTGTATTCTTTCTGGAGCAGAGTAGAAGGATCATGTCACATCCACTTTTTCTACTCTGTTATGCATCCATGTACTGAAATGTCTGACTGCCCTCTGTCTGGGGCAAGTGAGGCCTGCTCTGGCTGCAGAGGGCCTCAAAGGTCACAATGCACCCCACCCCTGTACCCACTCACCCTTCGCCCCTGAATTCATTATTTTTAATTAAAGACATTTTTTGTTATTGATTTTTTAGAGAGAGAGGGGAAGGGAAGAGAGAGAGAAACATCGATTTGTTGTTCCATTTATGCATTCATTGGTTGCTTAAAAAAAAAAAAAATATATATATATATATATATATATTGATTATTTTTTAAAGAGAGAGAGAGATATAGAAACATTGATGTAAGAGAGAAACATTGATCAGTTGTCTTCTGTATGCCACTTACTGGGGATTGAGCCCGCAACCCAGTTATGTGCCCTGACTGGGAATTGGGCCAGGACCTCTCAGTCCATGGGACAACACTCAATCCACTGAGCCACACTGGCCAGGCTCATTGGTTGCTTTTTGTATATGTCCTGACCAGGGATCAAACCTGCAACCTTGGTGTATGGGGATGATGCTCTAACCAACTGAGCTACCCCAACAGGGTTCGCCCCCAAATTCTTAAACAGTATATGACCCTTCTCTCACTTGGGTATTCTGCATTGATATAACATGGCCATAAACCTAAATACCCACTTTTATTTTATTTTTTATTAATTTATTTATTGGTTTTATTTATTTATTTATCCTCACCTGAGGATACCTTTTCTCAAATATCTTCAGTTAGAGAGGGAGGGAGGGAGGGAGGGAGGGAGGGGAGGGAGGGAGAGAGAGAGAGAGAGAGAGAGAGAGAGAGAGAGAGAGAGAGAGAGAGAAACATTGATGTGAGAAGGACACATCGACTAGTTGCCTCCCACATGACCCCAACCAGGGCCAGGGAGAACCACAAACGAGGTATGTGCCCTTGGCCGGAATTGACCCCATGACTTTGGTCCATGGGCCTACGCTCTAACCACTGAGTGAAACTGGACAGGGCTCTTTATTGATTTTAGAGAGAGAGGAAGAGAGAGATAGAAACATTGATGAGAAAGAACATCGATTGGCCACCTCCTGCATGCCCCCCACTGGGGATCGGGCCCACAACCTTGGCGTGTGCCTTGACCAGGAATCTAACAGGCTACCTCTTGGTGCATGGGTCGATGCTCAACCACTGAGCCACACTGGCTGGGCAATATCCACTTTTATATCTAATACTGTTTAAACCCCAGGAAAACATTTTCCCACATCTCTTGCCTTATGTTATCAAAACTGAGGATGGCTGCCTCTGAATGTGATAAAGGTTTGTGGGTTGTGCTGTTGCCAAAGACAAAGTCCCCCACTGCTTCGAAGTGTGCATTTGAGGGATGGAAGTGCTTGGATAAGAGGAAAGACAGATTAGTCAGTTTTTCAAATCTTCTCTTTCAATAAGAACGAATAGGTCTTTCCATATTCAATTGATAGTCTCCAGCAGAGCTGAGTTTTATTTTTGTGTTCACAACTGTTAGGGTGGTTTCACAACTGTTACACATGGTGGCTGAGGGATATTTTGTGACATTAAATAATTCATATGCCTCTTAAATTGTATATATGAAGATCTAACTAAAACATTTATGAAGCATGATACCAATTCTTTGCATTGGCAGCCAGAAGGACAATAAATTCTGAACGAGGAATTGTTTTATTTTTGTAAACCATTTAATAACATTTCATAAATTACACTTAAGAAAGTTTTATTTAAAATGTTGACATTTATTAATTTTAATTTATATTTTTCCTTTTAATTTTAATAGGTGATTTTGAGGTGGAGTCCAGTCAAGATGGTGGCACAGGTAAATGCAGTATCACCTCCTCCCACAACCACATCAAAATTACAACAAAACTACAACACAGCCATCATTCAGAACCACCTGACATTGAGCTGAATGGAAGTCCTACAACTACGGAATTAAAGAAGCAGCCACATCGAGACTGGTAGGAGGGGTGGAGGTGGACGGGCTGGTCCCCCACCCACGTGTGGTGAATAAGAATCAGGAGGACGCCCTGGCCGGTTTGGCTCAGCGGTTAGAGCGTCCGCCTGCGGTCCGGAGAGACCCGGGTTCGGTTCCCGCTAAGGGCATGTACCTTGGTTGCAGTTTGTCCCTGGCCCTGGTTGGTTGTGCGGGTGGCAACCACTCGATGTGTCCCTTTCACATCGATGTTTCCCTCTCTCTCTCTTCCTCTCTCTCCCTCCCACACTGTCTGTACAAAAAATGGAAAAATGTCCTCGGATGAGGATTTAAAAAAAAAAAAAAAGAATCAGGAGGACACCTCAGCTGGGAAGGTCCTCCCTGAGGACTGAGGGGTCCCTGTCCCATACCAGGCGCCCAGCTCAGGGTTCCAGTGCCAGGAAGAAAAGTCCCCATCACTTCTGGCTATGAAACCAGTGGGAACTGAGGCCGAGGGAGGCTGAGGCTGTGGAAGCCCCAGGCAGCTCCTCTTAAAGGGCACACACAGACTTACTCAGACTCGCTTCCTCTGAGCTCAGAGGGGAGGCAGCTTGAGGAGCACTAGAGAACAGGGAAGAACTGAGCTGTTTGGCCTCCGGATGAAGGCTGGAGGGACAGTTTTCTGGATAGATGTGCTGGTGGAGGCCGTTGTTTCTTTGGTGAGCCCTTCCCCCACCGAGCAGGGAGACTGCTGCCATATCTGGGACTCCAGCAGCCTGGCTCACATGATTGGCCCCGTCTTGGTGATTACCTGAGGACCCGCCCCACCCAACTTTCAGGCCAACCCAAGGTGTTTCCAAAGGCTTTACCATAGGATTGGCCGGCCTTGGATCCTGCTTCAGAGTTTCCTAAAATCTGTCAAACAAGCAGCATCTGGTACCTGAGCCCACCAGTGCACCTGGCACCATCAGACCAGTGGACACCCTGTGTCAACACAGACCAATGCATGGTAGGGGAGCTCCCAAGGTGCCGGTTGTGGAAACCGCAAATGGCCGGGAGCCCAGCACCATCCCCCATAGTAGCAGCCCAATCAGAGTCAAGATATACCCCCAGCAACAGAGGCTGGGGAGCAGACATTCATCCCCAGGCAACAAAGCACAGATCAGCAGCAGAGAACCATCCCCAAAAACTACAGCAAAAGCTGAGCAGGAGCTGAGCCCCACTGGGCAGCAGTACTCCCAGCCACCGGCGGTGGGACCTGGGGCTCCATAGGGGCCTGTGCAACACAGCTGCCCACAAGAGCGATGGGAAGCTGGGGATCCAGAGGGGCCTGTGTGACCCAGTGGCCCACAAAAGTGGTGCAGAGATGGGGCTCGAGAGGGGCCAGTCTCAGCAAGCCCCATACCTCTCATTAAGTGGCCCTAGGCCTGGCACTAGAAGCAGCCAGCCTTGGTTCACAACTTGGCTTTTCCTGGACACCTCCAAACCCAGCACAAGAAGCAGCCATCTGCAGATAGCTTTGTAGCTTATGCTGGGTGGCCCTGGATAGAGCACAGGCAGTGGCTGACCTTGCCCCAGAGTCAGCACACCCAGTGAACAGCTTCAGATCACATCGATACACCGCCACCCAAGCACTTTTACAAGTGACACACTCACTGAGTGGATTCAGTGGGTACCAGAAACCTGCTGAAATAAGTCTTGCTGTGTGTGGTGGGTCCCTACACAGTTGATCCTCCAAGGTAGTGACTAGTGAGCACAGCCAGTCCTTGCATCTGATCAGCCTGAGTAAACGCCTCCCATTGACATGCCAACAGCAATCAAGACTCAATTACAACAGAAAGGTGTACAGTCCACACTAGGGGTGCACTGCGAGGGCCCAGCTGAGGTGATCAGGGAGGCTGTGCCACTGGATCCTATAGGACACCTACAACAGTAGGCCACCCTACAAAGCCTAGGAGGCATAGCAACTCTGCCTAATACATAGAAACAATCACAGGGAAACAGCCAAAATGAAGAGACAAAGAAACATGTCCCAAATGAAAGAAAAGAACAAAACTCCAGAAAAAGAACTGAACAAAATGGAGATAAGCAATCTAACAGACGCAGAGTTCAGAACACAGGTTATAAGGTTGCTCAGGGAACTTGGTGAGACATCCAAGGGACTTAGTGAGACCCTCAAGAAACTTAATGAGACCTTCAAGGAACTTAAGAGACCTCTGAGGAACTTAGTAAGAACATCAACAACATAAAAAAGGGCCAGTCAGAAATGAAGGAGGCACTAACTGAAATAAAGAATAATATACAGGGAATCAGTAGTAGAGTAGGTAAAGCCAAAAAGCAAACCATCAATTTGGAATATAAAGAAGCAGAAAACACCCAAACAAAACAGCAAGGAGAAGAAAGAATCAAAAAAAAAAAAAAAAAAACGAGGATAGTGTAAGGAGCCTCTGGGACAACTTCAAGTGTGCCAACATTTGCATCATAGGGGTGCCTGAAGGAAAAGAGAGAGAGAGCAAGAAATTAAAAAACTATTTAAAACAATAATGACAGAAAACTTTCCTAACTTGGTGAAGGAAATAGACATACAAGTCCAGGAAGCACAGAGAATCCCAAACAAGATGAACCCAAAGAGGTCCACACCAAGACACATCATCATCAAAATGCCAAAGGTTAAATACAAAGAGAGAATCTTAAAAGCACCGAGAAAAAAGCAGTTCATTACCTACAAAGGAGCAGCCATAAGACTGTCAGCTGATTTCTCAAAAGAAACTTTGCAGGCCAGAAAGGAGTGGCAAGAGATATTCAAGGTGATGAAAAACAATGACCTACAACCAAGATTACTCTATCCTGCAAAGCTATCATTTAGAATCAATGGACATATCAAGAGTTTCCCAGACAAGAAAAAGCTAAAGGAATTCATCATCACCAAACCAGTATTATATGAAATGTTGAAGGATCTTCTTGAAGGCAAAGAAAAACAATAAAATGACAATTAATATATATCTATCAACAATTGAATCTACAAACAAAATGAGCAAGCAGAACAGAAACAGACTCATAGATACAGAGAACTTTTTGTTGCTCGCCAGATGGGTGGGGGCTGAGGGGCTGGGTGAAAAAGATGAAGGAATTAAGAAGTACAAATTGGTTGTTAGACTGATGAATCTCAAAGAGAAGGGGGGAAGGAGGGTGGGACGAGATAAGCCAAAAAACTTCTATGCATGTATGCATAACCAATGGACACTGACAATAGTGCGGGGAAGGCAGGAGGGGGCCGGAATGTGGAGGAGGGAGTCGATGGGGAAAAAAGGGAGAAACATCTGTAATTCATTCAATAATAAAGATGAGTTTTAAAAAATAGGTGCTTTTGAATATTTTTAGAAGAGATGTTACTTGTTTGACAATATATAAAAAATAATTTTATATTTTATTTCTTACATTTAGTTGACATTTTTGATGAAAATATAACAACATTATATATTATTTAAATACACTTATATTTTAATTTTATATCTTTATTGCTGGTAAAACACCGATTTTGTGAAAATTTTCATAATAGCTTAGTGATTTTGCTAGAATAAAATCAGGAAAAATAGTAGCTACTCTTTGAATATTGGTAGTGTAGATACAATGCAAATTTAAAAAAAATTTAACCACATTTATAAGTATAAATTCTACCCCAGAGCAATAAAAATCTATTATATAAGCAGTTTCTCAAGTAGGGGTTCTCAAAACAGTGTAGAAGATGTTTGAGGATCTTTGTTAAACATATTATATCTTCTGGAATACAAATTTTCCCTTTTAAGCTTTTATTTAGATATGGAAACAGAGCAGGTGAAGATTTAAACAGGTATTTAAGGTACACATAGAACTTTGGAGAAATGTTTATTTACTGAAGATTGTTAGGCCACGTTCCCAGGGATGTGCATTTATACACATGAGTGTGTGTGTGTGAGTGTGTGTATGTGTGTTGTGTGCAGCTGGCACGCTTCTCTCCTAGTACTTCGATGGAAAAGTTTAAAAAGTACTGAAAGAGATAATAAACACTTGACTATTGTACAAAATTAATACACTTATGAAGGGATCGACAGAATCCTTTAAAAATCTTTCATTTGAAGAGGAGAGAGGCATTACACCATGTTGGCAACTTAATCGATTGTTTTTGTATGACATTAATGAGACCCAATCATTAATTGTGTTCCTGGTTAATTGAGCTCTTTTACTTTGCAGAGATGGCTCAACGCTGGGCAACCATGTAATTGCTTAGCCACAGGCAAAAGTGAGGTGAGAACGTGGAAGGCACAGCACAGTCTGTCTTGGAAAAACAAGTAAAGAAATGTCGTCTCCTGAAGCTGGCTCAGTAGTGCTTCTTTCACGCATATCTGTGTTTTGGATCCTTGGTTCCACTGAGGCCTATGAAATCCTAAGAGAATTCCATCCTTTCTGTTCCTCTCTGCTCACTCTATTTTCTCATTTCTGCAACACGGGAGTGGTCATACTAGGGAGAAGAGGCAGGAGAAAAGAAAAAGAACACTAGGACTTAGGTGGCCTGGTCCTGGTTCTGCCTGGGGCACTGAGGAGTCATGGAGCTTGGAGCAAGTTCACGGGGCTTTGCTAGGTCCCCTTTTCCTCGCTGATTAGTGAGAGGTTTGGTTCCAAGATGATCTCTAAGTTTTCTTTAAATTCTAATGTTCTGGATGATTTTTGAACAATTTCCTGCAAAGTTTTTCTTTTGTAACCCTGAAATCTACACTTGATGAGATAAAAAGGGCTTGATCACACAGCTTTCAGGGTCGATGAGTTCCCAAGCTTCCCAGTTACAGTCAAACCTCAGTTCTCAAACATCTCCCATCTTGAACAATTTGGTTCTCAACCTGGTTGTTCACAGAACATGTCTCGATTGTGGAACAAAACTTCAGTTCTCAACTGAAAACTGTTTCATGCTGATACCTGTATGATCAGTCATGCATCTCGCAGGTGACAACCAAAGGAGAGAGTGTGGGAGCATGAGTCAGTTTACTGCTACACCTCATGCTGTTAACATTTCAGGAAGTTGTGCTATGAATATTTTTGTGGGCTTTTTGCTTTTGTTACTACTTTTTATTATTAAATATGTAAAGTAAGTCACCATGGGTCCTAAGACGCTTAGTGATAGCAGCAAAATGAAAAGGAAAGTTGTGAGAACAACAATAGTGTTTAAAAAAGAAATAATGGCAAAGTATGATGGAGGTGTTGATGTGTCTGAGCTGGCTACTGGTATGGCATGGCGAAACTGATGATTAGCACAATTTTAAAACAGAGAGGCCACCAAGATTGCTGATGTTGCTAAGGGTATGAAAGTGCTCACAAAACAATGATCACAGGCAATTGAAGAGGCAGAAAAATTGTTGCTGATTTGGATAAACAAAAAGCAGTTAGCCGGTGATAGCATTTTGGAGGCACTGATATGTGACAAATCGAAGATGCTACATGCTGACTTCCTGAAAGACACCCTTGGAATGAGTGCTGAAAGTGATTCATATAAGACGAGTAGAGAGTAATTCGATAAATTTAGGGAAAGAATTGTAGTGAGGTCTGGGGAGTGTAGCCAGTTATAACAAAGTAGCTGCTGATATTTTTGTGACAGAATCTGAAGAATACATAGAGGTCAGAGGATTTATTCTCCAGTAAGTGTTCAATTGTTATGAGACCAGCCTCTTCTGGAAGAAAATGCCAAAGAGGACCTACATCACACAGGAGAAGTCATTGCCAGGACACAAGCCAATGAAAGACAGGCTGACATTGTGTGGGAATGCAAATGGGGACTTGACATTGAAGCCTATTCATCTACCATTCTGAAAACCTGTGAGTTTTCAAGAAAAATAATGTCATGAAAAACAAGTTGACTGTGATGGTGGAGAGCAATAGCAAAGCTTGGGTAACCGGACAATTTTTTTATTGAGTGAGTTCGTGAAGTGTTTGCCTCAGGTATGAAGAAAGACCTCCAGGAAAACAACTGCCACTCAGGGCGCTTCTTGTACTGGACAAGGCTCCTGCCCACCCTCCAGGCTGGGAGGCTGAGTCGTTGGAGGAGCACAGCTTCACCCCTGTTAGGGTCTTGCCACCTAACACAACTCCTCTCATCTAGCCTAGTTTCTAATGTTAAGAAACTCTACACAAATGCACTGTTTCAGAGGCGACCTGCGCAACTAATTTAACCTTCAGGGAGTACTTGAAGGAACATTGTAATATCCTCACTTGCTTGAGGACCCTGCAATCAGCCTGCAGGAAACTGTGGCCTGAGTCTGTTGCTGTAAGAGACTTTGAGGGCTTTAAGGATGGGCCTGTGTCTGCGGTGGCGGATACTGCGTCTCTGGGCAAGACCATGGGCTTGGAGGTGGATGGTGATGATGGGGAGGAGTTGGTGGAAGACGACCACACTGAGCTGACCACCGAGGAACCCCAGACCTTCAGAGGGAGCAGCAGCAGACAGCAGCTGAGGAGCTCCCTTCGGAGGAGGGAAGGGAGGGTATTTCTACTTCACTAATCAAGGCAGTGCTGGGGAAATGGGGAGAAATGCAAAGTTTTATTGAGAAACATCACCCTGACAAAGAAGTAGCAAACCATGCGATAAACTTGTTCAATGACAATGCAGTGTTTTCCTTTAGGCAAGCGTTAAAACACAGGCAAAACCAAACACCACTGGATAGGTTTCAATGAGACAGAGGCCCCGAGAGCCTGAAGCAAGTTCGAGTGGAGCAAAGAGACAAAACAGAGAAAGAGCCCCGGAAGAACAGCTACCTGACGAGTTATGGAAGGGGACCCCCCTTCCGTACAATAACATCCAGCCACCCCCCTCTCCGTTTCAGTCATCAGTATCTCTCAACATTAAAGGTAAAATCTAGTGTGTACGTAAATTTTCATTTTTTTACTGTACATTTCATTTTCTTTCTGTTAAATTTTCATTTATATTTAATGTCCCTTTTGTATTTAAAGTGTTTATTTATAGATTAAACAGTACAGTAGACATGCACTGTATATAAGAAAGGTTAAAACAGAATCATTTGTGGGCCTGGAATGAATGAATTCAATCTACATTATTTCTAATGGGAAAAAAATGGCTTAGTTTTCAAACAGATCGCTTCTCGAGCAGCCTTCTGGAATGAATTAAGTTTGAGAACCAAGGTTCCACTGTATAAGAATTATACATATATTTCTGATTTTGAATCGAAAGTATCAATATGAATGAATCATGTGTATTAAAGACTTCTTAGCCCTGTCCACCGAGAAGGCCTAGAGATAGAGACAAACCTGGAGCAACAAGCACTCCTAGCACCCAGACTAAGCCTTTAGGTGCAACTAACAGTTTCGGGAAACATAAGGGATAGAGAACATGTTAAATGATACCTTAGGTCTGCAGTCAGCAAATCCAGCTTGTGGGAAACTACAGGACAATCAACCTGATGTTTAAAATAAAACTGCAAGAAAAAAATGTAAGGAAGAGAAACCTATTGATTAAAGTCGACTTAAAAGACATATTGCTCTATTGCAATGTGTCTTATTTGGATCCTGATTCAAATAGAGAAGCCGAAAATATTTATAAAAGATTGGGAAAATGTAAATGCTGATCGGATATTTGGTATTAAAGAATTATTGGTAATTTTTAAAAAATATGTTTTTTTTGATATTTTAGAGAGGAAGGGAGAGGGAAAGAGAGAGATAGAAACATTGATGAGAGAGAAACATCGATCATTTGCCTCCTGTAGGCCCCCTACTGGGGATCGAGCCCACAAACTGGGCATGTGCCCTGACCAGAAACTGAACCTCTTGGTGCATGGGACAATGCTCAATCCACTGAGCCACACTGATCGGGTTATTGGTAATTTTTGCATTTGATAATAGTGAAAAAGTTTTTATCCTTTGAAGATACATGCTGAAATATTTGCAGGTGAGAAGACATGCCTGGGATTTGCTTCAAAACAACCTGGAGGCCAGTTGGTAGTGGGTGAAGTTTTGGATGGAATAAGACTATGTGTTGTAAGAAAGCAAAAAATTCGGGTTGTGTTAGTTCACATGTTCATTTTTGCCACTTTAAAAAAGGTAAATGGATATGTAATATAACTGCCGCGGAAAAAGTGGCCTTCACTGGGCCCTCCTTTCCTGTTAAGGTGTTTGTCTACAACAGCGCGTTCTCAGTTATTCACCTTCCAGTCTTCTCTGGGCCTTTGAGGGAACAGAAGGTGCTAACTCTGGTTGAAGTTGGAACTAAAATATGCATAGTAGTTGAGGCTATGCAGTCATTGAAAGAAATACACATATATATGTATATAAGAACATGGATGTATTTCATCTGATTTTCAAGGCAAATGTTACAGTTTTATTAAAGTGATAAATTTAATGTGGATAAACATTTCATAATCTGGTAAACTCAATGTTTTAAAATTAAAAGCTTCATATTTTCCACTTAACTATATGTTTCTTTTGTATGTCTAAATATATACCTATGATGGAATATTAAAATTATTAAGCCGAAGGAAGTTTAAATGATGAAGAAGAGAAAGTCCGTATTTTAGAAGAATACAGAGCTTTGTGTACCCAGTCTGCTCAGAACAAGAAATAGCAAAAGTTATTTTGTGCCCAGGTAGCAGAGATTCCAGGTGTCACTGAAATATACTTATAACCATTAACATTTTGTGAATTTTTTTGGTTATGCACTTAAATAAATTTTTTTAAACAAAAGTCTACTTTTTTTTTTCTGTATTGATTTTAGAGAGAGAGGAGGGGAGAGGGAGAGAGAGATAAAAACATCAATGAGAGAGAACATAAATTGGCCACCTCCTGCATGTCCCCCACTGGAAATTTGGCCCACAACCTGGGCATGTGCCCTGACCGGGAACCAAACTGGTGACCTCTTGGTGCATGGGTAAATGCTCAACCACTGAGCCACAGCAGCCAGACCAAAAGTCTTCTTCTAAAGATGCTGCAATTCCTAATACCTATTGTTATTTGGTGGTATGTATTTTCACTATACCCAAGACTGTAACAGTTTCTTGTATTTAGGCATCTGTGATATATGCTTTCATCTTGTCTCTTCTGACAACTTTTATATTGGCTTATACAAATTCAGCCCCAAATTCTAAATGAGAAACTTCAGAGATGTCTTTTTATAACCAAACTATCTTTGAGGTTTCTCAGACAGCGTCTGGACAGCACCAAAATTTTACTTCCTCATTTTGTAAAAGGAGGGATGCTAGAAATCATCAAGAGCACTTTGTATTATATTCTCTGTTTTCTGAGAGCTGAATGTCAAGCCCACAGTGTGGGAAGCCTGGCAAATCAACCTCCATAGATCAGTTGTATATAAGACATACAAGTAGGATGCTATTAATATTAAAATGAACATGTTTTAGTACTTGTGTGTCTTCAGGATGGGTAGAGTATACTCATGTTCATGTGCAAAGACTGGCATAACTGTCAACAAAATTTATTCACAGTTTTCTGTTTTTAAATACCTGTGCCAATTAGTTATAATAAAATACACACTTGATGGGATGAATTAAAAAGCCCTGGAGATCTGTCAGTGCTGCCATTGCTTATACTTTGCTGCTGTTCTCAGGACAGTTGTTGATTAAATCCTTATAAAATATCTATGCATTATGCCTCACTTTTCTTGCTGTGGATAGTGCTAGTTATTAGGGTACATTAACCCAAACCATTCAGTCTGTCATCAATAGGTAGTTTCTTCTTTCCTTAAGAATTGCCTAAACACCAATAATGGAGGGTTCTGGAAGAAACTTCAAAAGAATCATAGCCTTTCTCTGTAAAAAAAAGAAAAGAAAAGAAAACAAAAGAACAAAAGAATCATAACTTCAGTAAAGGCCTGAAGCAAGTACTTTCAATATTGATACTAAATAGAACAGATCCAAAGGTACACGATTTCTAGTGGAAACTGATGTCACCAAGCATACGGTTGGATGGTGTGACTAAAGATTTTCAGGACTTTTTAAAAATCTAAAAACAGCCCTGGCTGGTTTTGCCCAGTGGTTAGAGCATCAACCCGGGAACCAGAGAGTTCCGGGTTCAGTTTCCGCTAAGGGCACATACCTTGGTTGCAGTTTGTCCCCGGCTCCGGTTGGGGTCATGTGGGTAGCAACCAGTTGATGTGTCTCTCTCACACTGATGTTTCTCTCTCTTCCTCCCTCTCTCCCTCCTGTTCTATCTGAACATAAATGCAAAAATGTCCTTGGCTGAGGATTAAAAAAAAATCCAAAAGCAGATGACTTTGTGATAGTATGACCAATTACACCAAGATAAAAAAACAAAAACAAGGATCAATTATTTACGAATTAAGAAAATGAAGGTGAAAAATTTTCTTGTGGCTAAACTTCTGTATTCTATTAAATTAAAATACTCATGATACCAGAACACTCCTTTCTTTTTGCAATTTCTATTAATATATTTTTGTTAGAGATATTTCTTCTTTTTCTCCCCTGGACACCCTCCTCCAGATCCCAGCATCCCCCCCCCCCCAGCATTGTTGTCTATGTCCATTGGTTACACACACGAGTTTATAAATCCTTTGGTTTATCTCATCTCTCTGCCTGACCCCCTCCTCTGAGGTTTATCAGTCTGAACCATACTCCTTTCTGTCTGTGGGTCTATTTTGTTCATTATATTTCACAGATAAGTGAGATCATGTGATATTTGTCTTTCTTTGACTGGCTTTTTTGTTTAGCATAATGCCCTCTAGGTCCCTCCATCCAGTCTCAAAGGATGAGAGATCTCTCTTTCTTATAGCTGTATAGAATTTCATTGTATATATGTACCACAGCTTTTTTATCCACTCATCTAATGATGGACACTTGGCCTGTTTCCAGATCTTAGCTATTGTAAATAGTGCTACTATGAACATGGGGGAACATATATTCTTCCTGATTGGTGTTTCAGGCTTCTTAACATATATTCCTAGAAGTGGGATCACTGGGTCAAATGGCAATTCAATTTTTAAATTTTTGAGGAAATACCATACTGTTTTCCATAGTAGCTGCACCAGTCTGCATTCCCACCAGCAGTGTACTAGAGTCCCCTTTTCTCCACACTCTCATCAGCACTTGTTGTTTGATGATTTGTTGATGGCAGCCATTCTGGCAGCTGTGAGTGTTACCTCACAGTCATTTAAATTTGTATCTCTCTGATGATTAGTGATGTTGAACATTTTTTCATATATCTCTTGGCCATTTGTATGTCTTTTTGGGAGAGGTGTCTATTTAGGTCCTCTGACCATTTTTTAATTGGGTCCTTTGCCTTCTTTTGTTGAGTTGTATGAGTACTCTATATATTTTGGAAATTAACCCTTTATCTGATTTATTGTTGGCAATTATGCTCTTCCATACAGTGGGTTCCCTTTCCATTTTGATGGTTGTTTCTTTTGCTGTGCAGAAGCTTTTTAGTTTGATGTAGTCCTAAGTGTTTACTTTCTTCCTTTGTTTCTTCTGCCTTAGGCATTGTATCAGTGAAAATTCTGCTGTGTGTGATGTCTGAAATTTTGTTGCCTACATTTCTTCTAGGATTTTTATGGATTGATGAGTTACATTTAAGTCTTTTATCCATTTTGAGTTTATTCTTGTGTATGTGTAAGTTGGTCCAGCTTCATTTTTTTTTTTGCATGTAGCTGTTCAATTTTCCCAAGAGGTTATCTTTACTCCATTGTATGCTCTTACCAACTTTGTCAAATATTAATTGAGCATAATGTCTTGAGTAAATTTCCAGGTTCTCTGTTCTGTTCTGTTGATCTATATGCCTGTTCTTGTGCCAGTACCAGGCTGTTTTGATTACTATGGTTTTGTAGTATAACCTGATATCCAGTATTGTGATCCCTCCCACTTTGT